AATAATAAAGTTACATACTTATGATGGCCTATTTTTATTCAAATGTAACTGATCCATGAGATCCAAAAGTCTGAGAACCAACCACTGCCCTATGTGTTATTATATTGAAGAGACTTGAAATAAATTAAAAGGTTAGAGTTGCAGTCATATCAGAGGGAAGCTCTGAGCATATCAAAACAGAAAGAGACATGGCCCTGCCGAACCTGAAATCAGCCCAATGAGGATAATCATCAGCCCTCTGTGATCCTGAATAGCCTGCTACTGAATGGGCAAGGGAATGGAAGCTCCATGACAAAAAAATATTGAAAATTAACTGGATGTTGCCGATAGCCAAAAGCTGGCAGTGACAAGAAAGGACATATTCTCCAATGGAGAAGGTTGGCAGGACAAGTCAGTGTCAAGGCCAAAGCCAAGCTGGAAATTTGGATCCCTCGAAGGAAGACTGAGGGTGAATCAATCCGTTCATCCTGAGCCCCAATCACAGAAGGCTGTGAGGCTGTGTCTTGGTTTGTCCCAGGCACACTAGGTATGAAGATCCAAGCCAACAAGATTAATTTCAGAGACCACCTGATGATTGCAGTCAGTGGGCTGAGGCTCTATTCACATCCCCATCCAAGTTTGGGAAGGGCTGGTAGACCAAAATGAGCATGGGCTTTGGAGATAGACAGAGTGGGTTCAAATCCCAGCTCTGTCACAAACAAGCCATATAACTTTGGGCACAGGTTTGTTTATGTGCATGTGTTTCAATTATCTAGACCATTTCTCATGCCATTTCTGCCTTTATCTAACTTTCTGATCCGGAATAACTCATTTTTGCCTCTTTGGTTTCAGTTTCCTTAACATTTGAAGGACCAGGACTAAATACATACATGAATCCTCCTAACTAGAACATTTTTAACTTTTATTCTAATGCCCTTAAATCCCTAGAGAAAAGTGGAATAGCACAGACAGAAGTCTTGGTCCTGCCTCTCTGTAATACCAGCTTCTTAAACTGGACCCAAGATTTCACCCCTGCATATTCAAGTTTTTACATCTAGAAATTAAATAGAAGACCTGCATTTAGGGGGCCATAGTTATAATTACATAAGAAAATCTGTATTTAAAAAAGGTTCTTTCTTAGCCCATAAAAGGTGCAGAATGATTTTTTTATATATAAAATCTGTGAGTTCTCTTATTGTTGTAAAATAAAGCCTTTACAACCCACAGTGGAGTAAAGGAATATTGGCACTAACTTTAAATGGTTCCAGATACTTTAAATTGTCAAGATTTTTTATCTGATTTTTATAGTTTCATTTGTTTCCCCTAGAGCATTCAGCTATTACTTCTTAATACCTTTGTGTGTTTACTTATAGTATGCCCTCTGCTCTTTATTGTTGTTTATTTCTGTTCCACAATGGCCTTGGAAAAAGAAAATCAAGTTTGTAGAGTTGTATATATACTAAGAATCAATATACTCTGATTCTCCTGTGAATAAGATGTTGGGCTGTGTGTTGACTTCATAAAAATTATTTTGTCACTACATTCTACCCAACAACAAAAGTCCAAAAATTGGAAACCATGCTAGATCTCTTCATCCCCCTCACTTACACACCATGCCAACATTTTGCATGTTCTGCGATTACCTGCTTCTCCCCACTTCACACTCTGAACAACTCACCATTGTCACTTCTGCCCTGACCCAACTTGTTGACCCCTGGTCTTTACCCCAGGTAGCAAAGAGTGATGAGTCAATGAGCCTCCTGGATTCCTTAGAACTCAGCCCAATTCTATATAAATAACCAGGCTGGCAAGATGGTAGACTGTTTCTTTTGGAAATCATCTTTGTAGTTTGTTTTCCTGTTACAGACCTGTGTTGCTAAGAGGTCTTTGGCTTGGCAAGACCCATTATATAGAAAATCCTGGCTTTTTCTCTGACCATCATTATCAAAACCTCTCAGCCATCCTCAGAGGCTCCATTACCATCACCACAAAAGGAAACTACTCTACTTTTACACATTCTTGCAAACTCCACAGGGGCCCATGATTATTTCTGAAAGTACAGTCTAGTAAGTTAAGTGCCAAAGTCAGGTTTACACTCTCCAGTCTTTATGCAAAGACTGCTTCTTTGTGGTTCAGACCACACAGAGAGTATGTCATACCTTTAAGAAATCTTTTAGTAAAAATGTGCCCAGAGAAAATCGATGAAGATCAGGACATCCGAAACAATATCACATAAGCAATGTTTAGGGGAACTACATTAAACTCAGAGAGGACTTCAGATGGGGAAGTTAAGGCATGTAAAATGGGAATTCAATTTTATCCCTGGGGTATCCCAAGGTAAGATTGCATAAAATGTTTGACGTTCACAGGACAAAAATCAAAGCACAGAAAAACACAAATCCACCTAGTTATGCACAACAGAATGGTAATGCCGTGAAATGGAATGTCAATCACAGGAAAAGTTCAAGCAGAAGTTAGATGAACTATATGTCTGGTAGGTTCTATGAAGGGTTCATGAGCTGAGACTTTTAGGGGCTTTTACTGTGAGTTGCTATGCATCTGTTGTAGTCTGGAGTCTTTTGAAAACGATGTGCTACAACCTGTGGAATTCCTATCAGCAAAATAACACTATGGTTTCCAGGTCTCTTTCAGCCAATATTGTTTGACTGATCCAAGTGACCTATGATGTGCCTTGAGCTCCATGATGAAAGATGCTATATAAAAAAAGGAGTAATTTGAGTCATAATAAATAATAGTAATGATGATGAATGGCAGTGTCACTGACAAGAAGCTGGCCTGCCATTAGGGAGTCCAAAACAACCAGCTGTGAGCTGAAAATGACTGTGTCCAGGCCAGGAGGATGCTCCGTGACTGAGACCACATTAACCTTTCAACCAAAGACCTGGATCAAGCCCCTGATTTGGAGGTGTGAGCAGCTGTCATGGAAGAAACTACAATACTTATCTCAGAGCTTGAATATTGCCTTGGACTTAGGAGACATTTTCCCAGACAGGTCAATAGGGAGCATATTCCCTTACTCTTCCAACAGAAGGGAAAACTGAGTAGGTCAGGGGAAGAGCCAGATTCCAAACTAGAGTTATAACTCTAAACCTAGTACTCTTTCCATTCTCAACCAGTCCCTCGACAATTCAATGGCAAGAGAAACTTCAGAAAAGAGCCAACTTGGATTAGAACATGCTGAAACAGGATCATGTCCCTCAAGATGGCTTGCAGAGCTGTTTTCCATCCATTTAGGCTGATCTTGCTAGTGAAATCCTGGGAGCCTCAGGTAGGGAGGAGTCACTCATTAATGTCCTAGACCTATTCTCACAAGCCAATATAGCACATGGCAGGAGCCCGTTGAGTTCTGCTGGCCCGGGAGGCAACACTGCTCTAGAGCTTTGTCCAGATTGGGATCTAAGAAGGCTAATTGCTGCCAGAGGCCTAATTAATGCTTCCAACTGAGAGACTTGGCCTCCTATTCCTTGCACATGCTTGAAGACCAACCAGTCACCACAGGCAAAGATGAAGGGTCCTGCTCTCTGCCCATCAAAAATCTCTACCAAAAACAAGGGTATCTGGGAGCTACAAAACCAGGAAACTTGCTAGGAACACATGAATTCCTTACTTGTTTGCCTTTTTTTTTTTTTTTTTTTTTTGGTATTTATTGAAACTTTATTTTTAAAGTTTATAACTTTGACTTGCATTTTGGCATAGTTTAATATATTTTATCATTTGGAATGTATTCTGATCCTCTTTTTATATTTTATCGTCTTTATATTTCTAACTTTTTTAACTTATCAAAATTCCTTTTTGTGCTTATCCTTTGAAGCTAGTCTATTCTCAGCTGTTTAACATGTTTTTCATTTTTTTCTTAAAGAAATTAATTGCTATTTTATCTTTCTTAAAACAGTCTCTTATTTAGTTGAAGACATTTTAAATTTTATCTCTTTGACACTTTTGTTTTCTTTTTTTAATGTTTTTTAATAATTCTCATTTTTATCTCATTTTACCTTTTGATATTGCTCTATTTTCTCAGTTTTCTAACTTGTAGCTTTGTTTCTTTAATACCAACATTTTAAATTGTAAGTTCTTTTCCATTTATAGCCTCTGAAATTATTTTTCTTTCAATTTTTAAATTTATCTTCTGTTCTATTTTTCCCATAGGATACCAAATGCCCACGCCTATAGTGAGAAGAATCCTCGATGACCACAGGGAGAGCCTTTAGTTTCTTTCCACAAGGCTTGAGAATTTGTAATCATTAATCTACCACCTCCATCCACCAGCCATGTCACCTTGGGGACCTGCTCTGGTATCTAGGCTTCAGTTCACAAAGTCTAAAAATGCTGATTCCTTCCAACAAATGTCATCAGACACTGGACTTCCTTGTTCCCATTATGTGTTCTGAAAACATGCAGGAACCCAGTGAGGAGAGGCACAACCCGTCCCATCTCTCCTTCATCCAACTATGATGCTCCAGCCATTTCACAGCCATTTTCAACAATGCCAGCCATCCCATTCAGATGAGATGATACCCTGATTGGAGCTGTATATTGTAGACCTCAGTAAAATACAACTCAGAATAAATATTTCTCTGCAGTAAGTATTAGTAACTAAATAAAAGTACTGATCTTCACTGCAGAGATATCAGAATTTGAGTTCTGACTTTGCCACTCACCTACCATGTGACCTAGGCAAATCACTTGATTATCATAGACACTAATTTTCCCCTTTAAAAAAACAAAAAAAAGACTGTTACACCAGATTATTTCTAAGGATCCTTCTGGAATTAATTGCCTATGAGTTTATGCCTTTCTATTCAAAACAAAACAAAATAAAAAAAACTGACATAACATCATGTGTATGTAGAGTATGTTGTTATTGTACCAATTAACAGAAGCCCAAGAGAATTTACTCCTCCTGGAGAACCAAAGCCTCTCCAACCATACCCACTGAGCAACAAAAAGTGTTACAATGGTGATGTAAATGAGGACCCAATGGAGCTGGGTGCCTGACATACTTGCCATTGATGACACCGTCTGGATTGAGCATGGGGATGATCTTGAAAATGAAGTTTTCCCTTAGGAGCCTAGCCACAGGGTCACTGCTGACCAGGAACTCCAAGGCCCCCTTCATCACCCAGCTAGAGTTGCTCTCTCCTGGGTGCACTCGAGCAGTGATCACTTGGTATGGACGCTGACCTGCCGAAAAAAGAACACAAGAAATTAAACCTAAATACACTTTCCATTTCCAACAAGATAATCTTCCAGGAGTCAGACTTATACCTGACTGGCATAAAGTCCAAAATAGGTTGATTGTTTCCTTTACACACCTGATCTACACTTATCCATTCTTCCATATGCCTCCATAGTCTGCAAGACTCAAGAAAGTATAAAAGGAAATCTCAAGACTGTTACCAAAAGCATAAGTATTTAGCAGCATGAAAAGAAGCCAAGAAGTAGATTTTATCAAGACCACCAATGGAACAATTAACTTTCCAGAATCTGATGGCATGATGCTGTGTGCCATAAATCTGAAACAGAACCTTATCTTCCTACTTATCAGTTGTAAGATCTTAGGTGAATAATTTAATTTCTGCAAGGCTAATTTCTCATCTGTAAAATGGGGACAATGATACTTATCTTGTGTGGATTTTATAAAAATAGAAAGATATAAATAAGGCACTTGGTATATGGCTTGCCATTCACTACTTTTTAGTTTCTCCCATCTTTATTGTGATGTCTGTAGGTAGGATGGTCCCTCTCATTCCTCATCAGAAATGGGATTCAAGGGCAGAACTTGGGCTGAGAACTTTATGTCTGTAGGACACTTAACTCAAACACTAAGAAAGATTTGACCAGAGTGAAGCACCTGGAATCTCAGTCTTGCAAAAAGAATCAGGAGAACACTCTGCCCAATCACAGGGAGAATATCGATCTGAAGAGACCTTATGGAGAATGCATTGATGACAGAAAGATGGGCTTGTCTTCCTTCCTTTGTTGATAGAAAACATCTGGACCATCGTAATGTTGAGATGTATTCTAAGACCACATCTTGGCTCAGGTGAAAAGTGTGTTTGGATTGATTAATGGTGTCTCTCCTCTGTACATTTGGGGAAGGAGGGAGGAAGATGGGGCATCATATCAGAAGTTCACCACATGTCCTCTAACCTCATGTCCAATTATATGTGTGTGTGTGTGTGTGTGTATGTGTTATCTGACTCTCTTTTCCTTTTGTATCCTCACCCAATTCCTTATGGCTTCTAAACCCACCTGAATGACAAGAACTAAACATTTGCCAAGTATAAATACCCCAGCCACCAAGCAGCCTAAAAGCTAAACTAGTCCTTTCTTTCCATCTCATTCAAATCACTATGAGTTAAATATGGCTTTTCTTCCCTTAAACAGTAGACTTTTTGAGGAAACAAACTGTGCAAAGAAATATACAATTGAATAACTCTTAGTAACAGAGCTAAAGAACAGGTAATGGTGAATTGTATTACTATTATCATCCACTAAGACAAAAAAAAAAAAAAAAACCCCGCTGTCTGTTGGCAACCACCAAGATCTCAATTCAAGGAGCAGAGATGGGTACATTTTTATTATGGTGAGAGAAATGTCATGTCAGCCCCTCGTAGCTCATTTATATATTGGAGATAATATTTGGTTGGTTTTCCCTAAACAGGTGCCTTGAGCATATTCCAGGACCTGCAGGAGCCATAGGATATAAAAAGTCAAATAAATTATAGTCCTTGTTCTGTAAGAGGCCATAGCCTTTGCTGGTAGTGACAAATGCACAAGCAAATAATGACAAGGGAGTTAATGGAAGTGTATATAAAGTGCCAAAGACAGATCTGAGAGAGGTAAGGATGTTTCCAGAGCTGTGATGCTATTGGATCTGAGTCTGGCAGAATGAATAGAATTCTACAGGGGAGAAGGTGAAAAAGCATCTTCTATGACAGAGGAGTAAAAATTGGAACTTTGAAGACCAAAGGAAGCCACAAGGCTGAAACAAAGGACTGAGGATTATGGAATGTGGATTTAGAAGAGAAGGCTGGTGTCAAACTAGTAAATTCTTCCTAATATATTTTGTTTAGGGTTTTGGACTTTATTCCATAGATCAGAAGTTCTCAATCATGGAGTCAGTGTCTCACTGATATGCTGTGATGGGGCCTATTAAAGAATCATTGGTTACCAATAAAAGCATAAATGTTTGCTTATGACATCACATACATAATATATATGTATGCATATACTATACATACACATATGGCACAAACTGCTGGCTGTCTGCCCACTAGACCTTCTCCCTTTCTTTCTGAGTACCAGACCCAATTCTGGAGGAGAAAGGATATGCTCTCAGCACAGAGTTTACTTGAGATTCTCTCCCTCTTCCTGTGCCCCTCCCTCAATTCACACATGTGCTCTCAAGAGTGTTCTCTCTCTCAAATAAAATAAATAAAAGTTTTTTTAAAAAAGGTAGAGAATCCATGATGATTTTTCAGTGGAAGAAAGGCATTCCAAAGTCTGTGCTTTATAAAATCATTTTGACATTATTGTAGATCATACATTTGCTGAATCAGAGATAATATGGCCTATTGAATAAAGAACAACTTTTGAAGCCATATTTCCAGAGTTCACATTCCAGTCCCACCATTTTCTATAAAATGAGTTATGGAAGTTTCTGATGAAACTGAGTACTGGATTGGGTGTCCTGCAGTGTAAGACTAATGATTTGCTAACTGGAACTTACTAAATAGGCATATTGAGGAGGAAAAGTGATATTCAGTCAGCTAGCTGAGCAGAGCTGAACCTAACTGAAGGCCAACTTGCCCACTCTATCATTTGCTCACAATCACATCTCACTCTTTCCAAAGCAAGTTGTATTGGCACTCCAATAAAAAGCTTGCGGAGAAAGAGGCTTGATGAATTCATACCCAATCAGCAGACTATTTTCAGTTCTATAATTCCATACCACTCTCTTTGTGATCTTTGAACTAAGTGCGTTTACAGCATATGGAACAACAATAGTAAGTACTCCCAGCCCAGCAAGAAGAAATAAAAAATAGCTTAAGCTCTTGTAAATTTCCAATACCAACTGAACACCCTCATTGTCTGGGCCCGTTGGCTCCCATTGCCTGCTACCCAGTGCAATTCAGTGCGTTAATCAATAAAGCAAATGCAGCCTTGCAAAGAGATGTGCACAATGTTCCTTTTCTTGAGGGTCAGGTTGATAATCTGCTAAATTGTAATACACCACAAGACCTAACAGGCTGTTCTAAACATCCTGATGAAGCAAACCGGGAAAACTGTGGGTTCCCATGAAGACATAAGCAGCATGTTAGCCATTTCTAGTTGATTTTTCTCTGTTCCCTCTGTGATTTAAGACAATTTTACAGTTGTATTGGTGAGTTAAACTTATGAGACCATTCAGTTGCAGCAGCAAATGGTGCTCCAGAGAACCCATAATAGACAACAGCTGTAAATAGTATGTGACACACATACCATGTGTTTTTTTCTTGCTATTGACAATTTCAGTTTTAAAAACTCATTTCTGCTTAGGGTAGGGCAAAGAGTATCAGGTATCTGTACTTTTTTTCTCTGTAATTTATAAAATCTATTCCGGAGGTCACCAAACTCTATAGGGGAGTCATGGTTTGGCAATATGCTGATTCTTAAAGCTCAGTATTGAATTTATGTCAGTGGTAATAACATCTGTAAAAAGAAGTTAGAAACAAGTAGGGGATTATATAATGCCTAAGAGATATCAGGCTCACAGCCAACGAAAAACTAAGTAAGAACTGAAGACATGTGTGATGATACTCGTGTGTACCCAACTATATAAACAGCCATCCAGTTATTCTTTTTTTTTTTTTCTTTCAACAACATTTATTAAACTCCTACTGGCACTCTGCAAGGTTCTGGAGATTCTAAGAGAAATAGTGGTTTTTGCCTTCAGGGAACTAATAATAGTCTAGTGGGAAAGACAGGCACACAGATAATTATGATCCAGTGTGATCAGGGTCATTTGTCAAGACATTTTCAAAGCATAGTGGAATGCTCATTACAGCATTATTTATAATGATGAGATCGACTGGAAATGACTTAAATGTGCACCCATAGAAACTAGTTAAGAAAAGGATTCATAAACAGAATACTTTGCAAGCACTAAAATGGCACCTAGATCTTTCTGTTGACACTAGAAGATATCTGTGACACAACGATGGGTGACAAAACACAGGCAAGAGAGCTGCATTACAGTGGATCCCATTTGTGTGTAGTTGTAACATTCATTTAAAGTATCTATCTATACATAGGACACATCTCTGGGTGGAGGTCAGCTTGGCAATTTTTACATCCACTATATCCCTATCTAGAATGTTCTCCTCTTCAGAATATAATGATCATATGCCAACTCTCCCAAAGGCAAAATATTTTCAAATAGTAAACCACAGAGGAGAAAGAGGAAAGAAATGGATTTTCACAGAAGAGGTAACATTGGATCTGGTTTGTCTAGTGAGAGTTCACCAGATGAAGAAAAGAAAGGAAGGAGATGACAGTAAAAGGGTAAGTAAAAGCACTTTGCAAAATAATGAGGTCATAGAGCACATAACACCTGAAGAAGAGTAAAGTGCTTTGATGTGGCTGAAGCTCTAAGTTACACGGAAGGTAAAATGGAGTGAAGCCATAATGTGGTTTGCACCTATATCTGTAGACCTTTAGAACCATTGTTAAGGAGATTGAAAACCATCTTGCAAGTTGTGAAAGTCCCATGGAAAATCCTTATGCAGGGGTGTGATCAGAGAGCAATTCTCACTGGAGCTGAAGACTCAGATACTGGGCTTAAGAGGTGGGAGAAATGGCCAAAAGAGCAGTCTGATTTCCAAAGTCCAGGAAGGTTACCTTGCCCTTTACTCTGGAAGAATGTAGATAAAAACAACTTGATTGGGGTCTCTAGGTGGCTCAGTTGGTTAAGTATCTGACTTCAGCTCAGATCCTGATTTCAGGGTCCTGGGATGGAGCCCCGAGCCCCAAGCCCCACGTCAGGGGTGGGGGACGGGCTGCGCTCAGATGGGGCAGGAGGGGCCTGCTCCTCCCCCCCACACCCCCACTCCTGCTCACTCACACTCTTTCTGTCTCAAATAAACAAATAAAATCTTAAAAAAAAAAAATAACTTGATTGATGGGTAAGGAAGGAGGCG